ATGAGTTACAGAATACTGAATCTGGGGGAATTCTTGAGTTGTCAGCTTCAAAATTTTTTATACTCCTGCACTGAAGTCTGAGGCTTGCAGTTAGCTCTTTGCAAATTGTGCTGCTGAGATCTTAGCCAGATTAAATCACACCATTTACTGTATAACGTTGTTGATCTCTTGTTCCTAGTATTAGAACATTTGAGGGCACAGTGTGGCTTAGGTAACATAGTTGCATCATATTTAACTTGAAAAGCAGTGCCAGCAATAGCATTCAAAATTCTTCCAACTCTCTAACTGACAGTGTCAAGTGTTGGCAAGGGTGTAGAGGAGCTGGAACACTAATACAGTTATGCTAGTAGGAATGCCAAGTGGTACAATCACCCTGGGAAATGGTTTGGAAGTTTCTTACAAAATAAAACCATTCACTTGCCATGTGATGAGACAGTCTAATCCCATTCCTAGGTATTTATTAACTATCCAAAGGCTAATGCTAAATCATACAGTGGAATAGAACTAATAAAATAATTACTGGTTTAGGCAACACATGAATCTAAATCATGTCTGTTACAGTGTATATACTGTGTTAAGTAGTTGACTACATTGCTTAGGGCAGTGGTGGTGAAACTATGTCCGCAGTGGGCTGTTCACTATCAGTGAAAGCTTTAAAAGGTTTGCAATAGTTGGTTTAGGGTATAAATGGCAAGAAAAATGTACTTTCACCATACACATACAATTTTTAGAAAATATTCTGTGATTGGTTGAATCCATACATGTTGAATCCACAGATAGGAAGGCCAACTATAGTAACAGAGGATAAGTGTTGACAAATGGGGGAATGTGAGGTTTGTGGATGAATTAACTATAAAGGAACTTGAAAGAACTTTTCAAGTGATGGAGTGATGAAGGTGGTAAAGGTTCCAAGACCATATGTATGTACTCTCTGAACTCAGTTATACATTTAAATAGAGAAATTTTGTTATTTTTAAGTTATACCTTAAAATTCTTTATCTTGTCAGTGGTGTTTGTAAATATCAAATGTATAAGCAGATTGTGGTGCTGCACACCTGTAAGTAATCTCAGCACTTGGGAGACTGAGGCAGGAAAATCACTGTTGAGTTTGAGGCTAGGCTGGGCTACATCATCCAGGCCAGCTTCAACTACGTAGTGAGACCCTAAATAAAATGGGGGGGGGGGATAAAGATTCACAAAGGCAATTTTTTTTGTCTTTTCCCCCCAAATCCATTTTATTTCAAGAAGAAAAAGAAAAAACAACAGAGTTTCAAAAAACAACAATGGGGCAACAGTGGTACATTCATTGTGCATTGTCATCCCCAAATCATTCAACCAGAGCACAAGATACCTGCATTCACTTGTGTGAACAGTACCAGCACCAGCACAAGTTTGAATGTAGAACAATCAGTACTATAACTATGTGAACTATTTTTTGTATACATATACATACACATATACGTATGTTTTGTCTTTTAGCTTCTTAACACTAATGAAACAATACAATGTTTACACGTATGTCTTATTTATTTCACTAATGAGTATAGTCTCAAATTGCATCCATTTACCTGTAAAAGTCTCCAGTATACCTTCTTTATGACTGAGTAGTACTCTTTTATAGAAAAATGCCATATCTTTTTAATCCATTTTTCACTCGATAGACATTTAGGTTGCTTCCAAGATCTGGCTATTACAAATTGTGCTGCTACAAACACAGGTGCATGTATATCACTGTGGTTATGATGTTTTTAATTCTTTTGGGAAAATACCTAGAAAGGGAATAGCTGGAATGGGACCTCTGGTCCTAGTTTTTGGAGAAATCTCCATACTAATTTCCACAGTGGTTGCACTAGTCTGCATTCTCACCAACAATGGAAAAGGGTTCCTTTTTTGCCACAGCCTCTTTAGCATTTGTTGTTGGTCGATTTCTTGATCGTAGCCATTCTTTCTGGGGCGAGATGGAATCTCAGTGTTTTAATTTGCATCTCTCAAATGACCAGTGATGTTGAGTATTTTTTCACTTTTATTTGCTGTTTTTCTTCATCTGAGAATTGTGTATTCATCTCAGATGCCTATTGTTGGATTGGGTCTTTAAATCTGGGAGGACTAACTTTTTTTTTTTTTTTTTTAGTTCTTTATATGTTCTTGATAGTAACCCTTTGTCTGAAAACAGCTGGTAAACATTTTCTCCCATGGTGTGGGTTGAAAAGCTTTTCAGTAGGGTGAGATCTCAGTTGATTCTTTGTGATGGTTCTTGGGCAATCAAGGTTTTGTTCAAAAAGTCTCTGTCTTACACCAGTGTCTTCAAGAGTTTTAACCTACTCTTGTCTTCCAGTACATTTGATGTTTCTGTTTTAATGTTAAGATTTTTGATTAATTCTGATTTTAGCTTAATACATGGTGAAAGATATGGGTCCAGTTTTAATCTTTGGCATGTGTGTTCCAGCACCATTTATTAAAGAGTCTATCTTCCAGTGAATGTGTTTGGCACCTTTGCCAAAGATAAGGTGGCTTAGTGTGTCTGGAATTGTTTTTGCATTTTCTAATCAGTCTCATTGATCTTCTGGTCTGTTTTTTTGCCAGTACCACACAGTAGTGTGTTTTTATCACCCTAATTTTATAGTATAATTTCAAGGATTATGATGCCCCGTCTTGTCTTTGTTGCCCATGATTGTTTTTGCTGTTTTAGGTCTCTTCTGGTGCCAGATGAATTTTAAGACTGTCTACTCTAATTCCATGAGATATGCTATTGGAATTTTTACTGGGATTGCATTGAATTTTATGATAGTTTTGAAAGTAGGCCATTTTCAGTATATTGGTTCTTCCTACCCAAGAGCATGGGGTGTCTCTCCATTTTCTAATATCCTCTTCAATCTCCTTCTGAGTACAATAGTTTGCAATGTAGAGATCTTTAACCTCCTTACAAAGATAAATTTTAGATAGTATATCTTAATCCTAGATTTGTCACAAATATTCTTTAAACATTACTATTATTACTGTTTTTTTGAGATGGGGTCTCGCTATGTAGTCCAGGTTGGGCTTGAACTAACATAACCCAGGTTAGCCTTGAACTCCTGGCAGTCCTGCTGGGATTACAGGCACCATTATGCCCAGCATTAACAAACATTATTTTGATATATTTTATATATATTTGATATATATATTTTATATATTTGATATATTTTAGTTGGTTTTGTTGATTGTGGAGTGAAGAAAGGAAGACTAAAGTAATCTTAGACTAGCTATGTAGTGAATAAAAAAATGTAAGCCAGTTACACAAAAGGTTAATGTTAAAGTGAAATTACTCTAAAGTAGTACATCTTAATGACTCTGTCAGTAAATTTTGTGATGCTTTGAATGGCACTTTTGATAAAATTATTGGTAGCTTTGAACAGAAAGTTGTTTGTAAGAAAAAAATATTTGTGCTTTTCTTGGTTGATACAGGATGGTATGTTGCACTGGATGCAACTGGTAAATATTAGGAAACTCATCTGTAGCTAGGTTAACTTAATACTCGAGTATTTTTTAAATTTGTACTGGGAATCGCACTCAGGGCCTGGTGCTTGCTAGGTAGGTGTTATTGCCACTGAACTATACCCAGCCCTTCAAGGGTAATTTTATTCACATTGTTAATTTCACTTTAAAATTATAGACTGTTTCATAGAAATAGACTGAAAATTACCATAACCATTAAACAAATGTAACATTTTGAAAAATGTTAAATACAGGTGAAGATGTACAGCCATACTAAAGTTAATCATTCCAGTGTGTGTTTTATATTTAAGCCATACATATTTGTATATGTAAACTGTTAAGTTTATATGACAGAATTAAAATAAATGGTGGTTTGACTGGATTTATCTCTGGCAATTTTTTCATCTGAAAGTATCTTAAATGGTTATGTTTGTTAAATCAGTCTTATCTTTAAAGTCCTGCAAGTTACTCTCCTGGGAAAATTATTAAAGTGAGAAAAGAGACAAGTAAAAAGTGTGAAGATTCCTAGCATTTAAGTTGCAAAAAGGTTCATAAACCTTAATGGCCAGTTATTAAGGCATTATTGTAGAATCAAGCATTGGTTGTACTCCACTATAGTTTTGAATTCTTTTGCTTACTGCTGTTTTTAATTTATGTTTTTTGAGATGTGGATTAGTAAGCTTCTTGGGATGTAGTTTCTTATGGATAAGCAATTTGGGAGTTGTGGGGTAGCGAGAATGTCTGGAGGAGAATGTTTAGGCATGGATTGTCTAGATAGGTCAAATTGGTAATTATTTTGAATTAGAAGTCTTTCTGAAATGAATCCATATGGGCTTAAAAGGATACACTGGATATAATTTTATCATTTCTACTGTAGGTAAAAGTTGTACTGAGGTATAGTGGCTCTTATTGGGAGGACCTATTATGTATCAATATGTAACAATCATATGGTCAGCCCCACTCCTCCCTTCAGAATGTTTTGCTGTTAATACTGGAATATTTTGAAGTTCAAACTTACAGCCACACTCATGACCATTATGACCATTTTGTGTATGATGACATTTTAGTTCGCATCTGCTTTGCTATTTTGTTGACCTGTCGCTTCTCACTGGTGTGTGAATGTACAAAATCCTTTAATTCTTAAGGGTTTGGAAATTTCTATTAGTTTTAATAGATCTGTATCTGAGGAATAGATGAGCATTGGGACTCTTAGAATTTGAGTAAAATAAGTGTTTTTTAGTGCAGACTCTGACCATTTGGAGTGAAAAGCTTTTAAGTTTACTTTTTGCTAGTTATTGTTCAGAAACGATTTTGTTGGATAGCCAAATCCCAGGTGGTACACATATGCTGTTTCTGAGTGAGCATCTCATTTATGCTGAAGTGAATTCCTTCCAGAATGTCAGTTTTCTGTATGTTATTTGGAGGGATTACTTTGCATAGATTGATCCTACTAAGTAACTGTTGGAAAGCCAACCTTTTAACTTTCAACTTTTTATCTTGCCAAATTGTAACTTTTTTTCTTTTAGAACAAATTCTGTACAACATAAAACAAGAGTATAAACGCATGCAGAAAAGAAGACACTTAGAAAGTAGTTTCCAACAGACAGATCCAGGTTGTAGTTCTGATGCACAGCCACATGCATTTCTCCTCAGTGGACCAGCCTCACCAGGTAATAACAAGCTTTAATAAAATAAAAATGTTATTCACTGTGAGAAACGTGTATTCTAAAATGCCTTCAGTCACTTAAATTGTTTCTTCCCAAGATTAAAATAATTTATATTGGAACACGTAATGCCTTAATATGGTACACAATAAACAAATCAACACCTAGATTCCCACTAACTGCAAACACATAGCACCTCTAAAGTGGACGTTGTATAAATACTATACTATGAGTTGTAGTTCCAAATTGAAACACTAACTATACACTGTATAGATGTATCTTGCATGGCTGCACACTGCAAAGTTTTGGTTTTCTTGCAATTAATTGTCAATTAGATTTAGAAATTCTGCTGTTAGAGAATTTGCAGAAATATCCCTGTGCATATACTGTCGTACACTTACCTGTTCTCACTTAACCTTTCTGAGGGCCTGGGGGGGTTCCAGGGATCGAACTCAAGACCTTGTGCTTGCCAGGCAGACTTGTGCTGCTGAGCTATATCCTGGCCATTCATCTTTTTTGGAGGAAGCAAAAATAGGGCTAGAGTGAATGGGAAACTGAAGCTTCTTGGTGGAAAAAGAGCCATCAGTAGTAGCTCTTACCTTTAGTAAAGTTCTTACCAAAATAGTTTAGAGTGGCACATTCTGGTAATCCTAGCATACTAAGAGGCTGAAGCCAGAGGGTTGCATGTTTAAGCCCAGCCTGGGCAGTCATCTCAAAAAAAAAAAAAAAAAAAAAAAATTGTAGGCATAGCTCAGTGAAAAGGCCCTGGGTTCGGTCTCCAGTAACTCCCACTCTGGAGTTTTTTTCTATTCTTTTCTTTTTCTCTTACTTTGCCTGCCTGCCTCCCTCCTTCCCTCACTCCCTTCTGTCTGTGGTAGTAGTTACTTTCTCTCCCTTACCCCCTCACACAGGAATAGAAAAACCTGACAGATTGAAATATTCAGAAGCATAAGAGATTAGATCAGGGAACATGAAAACTATTCAGAACTAAATATTGCAGTATTCTTGCCTATCTGGGGCCCAGCTGCAAGTGGGTGAAACATGGTGAGAGTGGAGACTGTCTCAGGAGGAAATCAAGATTATCATTTCACTATCAGACTTAGATCAATTAACTGGCAGCCTTGGGAGAGTTGGGAATGTGAAAATAATATACTTTTAGCAGTTAATAGATTTTATTAAAGCTGTTGCACTAACTCTTATGACATACATAATTCTAATAAGCAGTTAACTGATCTTAGCCATGTACATGAGAAAAAGCAAGTGAAGAGAGGCGCAGGTACCTGGGCAAGTCCACAGAACAAGATGAGACAACTGTAGCAAATGAGTGTGTGTTTGGTATGTGTGTAAAATACACAGTTGTATATTGCACCCATGTTGTAATGGATGGCTGAAATAACCTGAGTTGGCAAAAAGATAGATGGGAGACTATCCCAACCTAACAAGTTGGGAGTGTTTGGAAGACCAAATGCCTTAAGTAGTCCTTGAAAAGCAATGCATTTCTGAAGTTTCTTATTAGTATCCTGTAATGCCAGATGGCTGTTACCTTAAAAACCTAGGAATTGAAACATAAAATTTAAATGTTGACTATGAGATCTATATGTATTGTCAGGGTTGATTTTTTTTTTTTTTTTTTTTTTTTTTTAAACAAAGTGGTCTTCCTGTGGTTACAATGAATTAAAAACAAAAAATGTTAGGAAAAAAGTAAAATATTCAGAGAACAAGAAATAAAAAATTATCAGTGCTCCTTTCTTTGAGATTAAGAAATAAAATTTCTGTAAATATCTGCTTATCAGTGTTTACAGAGAAGGTTGGCATCCCATTCTGCCCCAGAAAGCTTTTCATAATATAGATCTATGCTTAGTGTCTTAAAAATCAATCACTGCTGCAAAATATTTGCCCCTTAAAAATTCCACTTTTGAAATTTACTAATGAAATTGACAAACATGGATGTTGTAGCTGTTTTGCATTTAGTTGCTTTACTGTGATAACAGTGTAATTGTATGTTATTAGAGTTTTTAAGTATATTTTCAAAGTGAGTTAAATTAACTCACTTAGTGAAAATTACTGTGTTCAGGAACCTTAAGACTCAACTGTGCTCCTTTAGCAAGGGCTAATACCAAAATTTCATCATGTTCTTTTAAAAAGGCTTATGCTGTAGACTTACTTTTTTTTGGTCTTTTTCAGTACCAGGGATCGAACTCACGACCGCACACTTGCAAGGCGCTTATGCCGCTGAGCTAAATCCCCAGGCCCTATGCTGTAGACTTTCACCTTTTTTGTTTTGTAAATACAAAGATTTTGTGCCAGTGAGAAATCTGTTTTTCTTTTTTAAGGACTAGAAATTCCTAGAAAAATGAGAATATCGTTTTGGTTTTTTCTTTTCTTTTTTGGTAATGAGGATCGAACTCATGACCACACGCTTATGCCACTGAGCTAAATTTCTACCGATGAGGAAAATACCTTAAATGGTAGAATAATCCCCATCTTTTTATGAGATTAGCTTTATTTAAAATATAATAGTGTTTTCTCACAGGATAATCATGTTATTCTGGTAGTAAGTAAAATTTTAAGTTTTATACCAGAGATTGTCTTTCTTTATAGGAATATTTGTAAACTGGTCAGTAAAACAGTTTATGGTAGGGAACTGGTAGAGTGAAAATGAGGTTAATCCTAGGACCCATCATTGTGAACTTTGTTGTGAAGTTTCGTTCAGTCATCTTTTAAACTTTGTCCTTTGTGCTTACGTTGTTTTTCTAGTCATAAACAGATTTATACTTGAAAACCTATTGTACGACTGAAAAATCCTACAGTAAAATTTGATTTAAAGAATGCTTTTATATGAACATTGTAAGAATACAAATGAAACTTTTCAGCTAAGATTCTCTCATGGTTCTAAGTCAGGTACAATTTTTGTTCATGTTCTACATAGGGACTTCATCTGCAGCATCCTCGCCATTAAAAAAAGAACAGCCATTATTTACTCTACGGCAGGTTGGGATGATCTGTGAACGTTTGTTAAAAGAACGTGAGGAAAAAGTTCGAGAAGAATATGAAGAAATATTGAGCGCAAAGCTTTCAGGTAAGAGGTGTTTATTTTAGACCCCCCCGAAATTCATTGTAAGAACTGCATTATTTCTCACATGTACTTCCTATATATGGCATACTGTTTTCTAAGTGTAGAATTTTAGTTTAATTAAACAAAATCATGTATCCTGTAGTTCACAGCCCACAGAGAGACTTTGGGAAGCTAACCAACCAAGTAAATACTTGAAGTATCTATCCTGTGTACATCATATTACAGTGTGAAGCTGTGGGATTTTAAAAAATAAGTAGAAGTCGATCATTTAAGTGCAGTAAGTTAAGGTTTTGTGTAATTTTATGTTTAGGCCACAGATTTCATTGTAAATACTTACTGTAAGGTTCCTGAATTTGAAGGAGTTACTTACATGTCAATGGTAGACAGCAGAATATTTTGCCGTGGAGCTTTTTTCCTGTAACCCGTTTATATTCTGAGATAAGAAGTCTTTTAAAACTGCCCAGTCTTTCCTCAAACTTGGAATCCTCTTGCCTCAGTGTCTTGAATAGTTGAGATGATGGGTGTGTACCACCATACCTGATCATAACATTCTTTTCTGTGACATCTGATTAAGGGTACAGGGAGATGGTTTTCATTAACAGTAAATTGCCATTTACAGACCACTTAGCTTTCTAGGTAGGAAATTTTTTTTTATAATTGCAAGCCCTTTGTTTTTTGAGGTTTCACTTTGTAGTGTAGGCTGGCCTTGAACTTGCTATGTAGCCCAGTCCAGCCTTGAATTTGTGCCGATCTTCCTGCCTTTGCCTCCCAAATACCTGGACTGTGGGTATGCACCAAGGCCCTTTGGGCACCGGGGATCGAACTCACGACTGCCTGCTTACAAGGCAGGCACTTATGCTGCTGAGCTAAATCCCCAGCCCCAGCCCTTTGTTTTTAATCATTAGTAAGTAAGCCCTGTCCATCTTTTATGCAAAAAAGGTCATGTGACTTGGATGAGCCTACCTTATATTCAAAGCTCAGAGATCTCTCCATTTGGAACACTTATTACTACTCTGGTTATATAACTGATCAAAGTGTAATTTAAAGCTGTTTCACTATATGTTTTTGAGAGTTTGTCTAGCTGTAATATACTAGAGAGGGTATTTCCCAATCATGTAACTGCTATCTTTCTTTGTAGAACAATATGATGCTTTTGTGAAGTTTACGCATGATCAAATAATGCGACGATATGGAGAACAGCCTGCTAGCTGTAAGTATTTGACCTTTGAAATATAAACTGAAAACAAGACCATCTTTTATATTTAAGAGAATTTAACAGAGGATCATAGAGAAAAACTTGGATGAACTAAGCAACAAAACTTTGCAAATCTTACTTTGGGTTGTTTAAATACCTATGGGCAAACACTGAGAATGAACATCAGGTTTGAAAATATTTGGCACTAAATTTTCTTTTTCTGTCTCTTTAGATGTTTCATGAATCACATTTTCTGCATTTGTGGGCTGCCTTGTTCCTTGTCGAGTTGCTGGAGGAAGTTCCAATTATGACATACAGCAATGCCAATATCCCTTGTGAATACAGGTTATTTCAAGCTTTCGTCAGTGACAACCACTCTTAGGCAGCAGCAATTGGTTTTGGAAATTTCCCTGATGTCAGTACAACCTGGATGTGGACCTTTGCTACCTGTATTAATACCAGTGGCCTCATTTTGCTGTATCATTACAATTTGGCTTCTTATATTAATATGTTTGAAAAAGATTATAAACTGGTATTCTAGAACATGCCCTTCACTGGTTGTGTAAATAAAACTGTAGAATGACACTTCAGATGAAGTTAGTGTGATTTTAATTGTGCACTACAACCAAGCTGTAACCAGTTATTAATAATTTAGAATGTAATCCCAGGACCATCTTAAGCCAATAGCCTGCAAGTGCTTCCTGTGAAGTAGTGAAGGAGGAGGGCATTTCTGTATTCCAGGACTTCTCGGGGTTTCGGAATGGGTTTATATGATTTTTTTTGGTAGTTTTATTTATTCTATCAGTCTTTTTAACAAATGTTTATTGCTGCATTTTTCCAGTGTATCATTGTTTTACTGCCCTTGTAGTACTGGAATTTAGTTGGAATAAAACATTTACTTCTATTCTGCTTGTTTTTTAAATGTTAACAGATGAGTAGTGTTTCAATAAAAGCCAGTGTTTTAAATGTAAGCATTTTCCAGAAATCAATGAAGTTAATTTTCTGGTAAGATTTTAAGATTTGAGTGCTACTTGCAAACACTCAGTTCTAAATTACTTGTTTAACTTTTACTGCATAATAGTATTCTACATAAGAGTTCTAACAGTTGTAGGATTTTTACTTGAAAAGCTATCAGAAGTATCCAGTTTTTAAAAGGGACTTGGTAGGTGAAAACATGATTCAGCACATGTATTGCATTTTCCATGCATGGCTTGCAAACATAAGTTTTCTTGTAACAAAGTGAGTGGGAAAAATACTCCAGTGAAGTAGAATTGTAATGGCTTATTTCCCTCATTACACATACACATATCTTTTTTTTTTTTGTCTTTTTCATTTTTATCGGTACTGGGGATCGAACTCACGACCGCCTGCTTGCAAGGCAGGTGCTTATGCCGCTGAGCTAAATCCCCAGCCCCGCATACACATATCTTAAATGTACAGGACATAAACATTCATAATTGACCCCATTGGAAGAAAGGAGCTTTTTTAGCTTTGGTAATTGTATTACACCAGTTTTTTTCATTTAAAATGAGCTCTTAGTGTTGAGTTCTCACAAGATTGCCAGGTTTCATGTGTTCATTAGTGTTTGAGGAACATTGATTTTAGCACAGGAGAGCCATAGATGGGTATATTTAATGGTTTAGTACAGATTTTCAATCTCCACAGTGTTAGCATTTGGGGCCAGATCACTGTTGTGGGGGCTGTACCTGTGTGATATAGGGTATGTAACAGCATCACCTCTAGCCTTTCTTTTCTCCTCCCAACAACCAAGGATTTCCAGATTGCCAAGGTGCTCCTCAGTGGACACTGGTCCCAATTGAGAACTACTGGCTTAACGGGATAGTGTTTTTAGGAGAATGCAAGCAGTAAGTTTAAAATAGAGGTGTGGGAAACATGTGCAAACATTTTACCCCTTGTTAGCTCCAGTAACAATAAAATATTTTGTTAAGCATGTGCAAATTTCTACAAATGCATATTGGTAAGGGCTGGATTTTATGGTTGGTACTAAAAGATGAGTACTGGCGATCTGAATGGAGCAGTAAGTTATATGGTTTTTAGACTTAGCTTTGATCAAAAATAAAGTTCCCTTCCCCTAACAAATTCTTGCATCTCATTTTATCAGAAAGCCCTAGTTATATGGTATTAAAATGGTATAAGAGAATTCCAGAAAGTAAATGTGCATGTTTCCTGGATTGTTGATGGATTCAGTAGTCACTCTAAACACCAATCATATGTGGTATCAATTATCTAAGAGATTCTAAATTCCCAACAATGCTTGGGATTCCTGTTACTAATTCACAGAATTCCATTGTTGATAGTCATCTTAATTCTCTTAGTAAAAGTTCTGAAATGGTGGTGTTAATTGTACTGTTCAGTAAATCTTGGATTAACACGGGCACGTATACAGCTAGATACTGTTTTTTCTTTTGTATTATTGAGGAAAAATAGGTGTTGTGAGTAATTACTGGAGGTTTAAGATATCAAGAGAATGATTTCTAGAAGCTGGCTTTACATGATGGGAGAAGCACAAGGAAGAAAATTACATTAATATGCTCCTTGGTGATCTAAGCAACCAGGGTTCGGAAAAAGTTGACTTTGTCGCTGGTGGCTTCCTAAATTGGTGTTACATGACTATTCTGCTAGAGCAGAATTCTGTCAACTTTTTGCTGCACTTGCTGTAGGTGAGATACATTAGATGCAAACCTTCACACCTCATTCAGTCATGACTCCCAGTAATCTCTCCAGTGATTTTTTTCTGTTGCTTCATCCTCACATGCATAATGAATGTTACTAAAACCTTGTGAGGCTGGGCCTGGCAAAAGCTGAAGCAGTACTATCACAGGTTCAGGGCCACTTTGGTTTAGTCAGACCCTGTCTCAGAAAGGGTAAAACGTTCAAACTTGAGTACAGCAAAAGACCAAATGACAAAAATTAAAAAACCTGATTTTGTGTTCCTCCAATTATTACTATTGATTTTGCTACTGCCATTTATAACAAAACCTCAAGAATTTTCTAAAATTCTTCCAATCAATCCTCCACCCGTTTCCATCAACTTGTTTTAGAAAAAATTTAGTGTCTTCCTATGACTCACTTAAAAATTACGCATATCTCCTAAGAGTCATATACTTTTGCTCAATACCATTATCACACTTTTAAGAGAATACTTCCCTAATTTAATATCAGTTCTATGCTCATTTTTCCCCAAATTTGTCACCACAGTGTTTTTGATGGCCTTCTCATTGAGATTCAGTTAACCTTCCAACCTTCTAGAGATGCAGAACTGTCTTGAGTATTTCTTTGTGCTGTCACCTTGAACTTGCTATAAACTAGAAGTGAAGTCTAAAGGTTCAGTTTTCAGATTAAAGTAGGAGCCCAAAAATATAAGGGGATGTTAGTGATCTCTACTGTTACCTCATACAATACATGGCTTTTCCAGGGTTAATGTTAAATTTGGATAGGTGAGGTCTTTATTTGCCCACTGCTTTTGGCACCAGAGATTTTTAAATTGCTAATTTTAATCAACAAACACATTTTACCTGGAATCTCTTCAGTTGACCTGTCTTTTGTTGATTGTGTTTCTCGCTTCACTATTCTCTTTTCCTCCTGGACCATTCTTTATTTCCTTTAAACTTTAATAAACATAGGCCTGTCCCAGAGCTTGACCTTTGGCTCCTTGCTTCATCTTTTCTACTTATTTTAGTGATCTTACTTGTATCATAAGGATAGCAGATCATATTTATACCTTTGTGAATAGGTAGCAGACATCTCACTTTATGGCTTAACTCAAACTCCTTCCTTTTGTTTCCCCCCAAAGCATTCCAGTATTAGCTTTCTGTCAAAATGATGAAATACCCATGTTAGATAACTTTTCTGTCTCTGTAACAAAAATACCTTAGGTAATCAACTTACAAAGTGATTATTTATTTTGACTCGCCATTTTAGATGTTTTCAATCTGACAAATTAATCTCAATGCTTGGGATCTGTGGTAAGGCAGTGCAATCATTGCAGGAGTGCATGGTAGAACAAAACCACACATGGGCCAGGAAGAACACAAAATTCCCCTTGGAGCACATTCCCAGTGACCTAAGAACCTCCCACTAGTCCCCACCTTAAAAAGTTCTAACACCTACCAAAACCACCACCCGGAACCAAGCCTTTACTCAGGAAGACACATGAGCTTTTGGGGGACACTTTTAAGCCTCCGCAAGCCCCAATCACTGGCGATCCCATGCTTGTAAGTAATCTTAGCCAAAACCCATCTGGATCTCCTCTGGTCTTGATCCACTTAAAAGTCTCACCATCTTTATCACTATTACTTTAGTGTGAGACACTATTAGGGGCTTGCCTGGGTAATTTCAGTGATCATCTACCTAACTGGTCTTTGTTTTGCCTTACTTGTTTCTATTCTTACAGACCTAGAGTGGTTATTTAAGGGCCTTTCATAGATGGTTTTCTACCTAAGAAAAAGTGACCTTTAAATGGTCTACAAAGCCCTAAATTACCTACTCTATCCCACCTGATTCAGTTCAGTTGAATTCTTCCTTGCTGTGCCTTGCCCATACTAGCAACCTCTGCTGATCCTCCACTGTGGCTAGCACACATGTACTTTAGGACCTGTGTCACTGCTCTTTCTGTCCCATAAAATGTACCACTTTGGAAACATTCAAATGACATCTTAGTGTGAGTTTTTCTCTGACTAATGTGTTTGAAATTGCAGAGTGAACTCCTGCTTCTCCTTACAATTCTGTTTCTTTTCTACACCTTTTTTTCTTTCCTTTCTTTCTGTCTTTCTGGTACAGGGGATTGAATTTACCTCATGCTTGCCAGACAGGCACTTGTGCCACTGAGCTGTATCCCAGGTGCTGTTTCTTTTCTATAATAATTATTTGTTCTTTCTCTGCTCAAGTACAATGAAATCAAGTGTCTTTGTTCCCTGTAGTACTGCAAGTGCCTAGAACAGTGCCCAACACACAGTATATAGTATTTTTTTAATCAAATTCAACTAATTCACTTTTTTTGTCTTTCCTTTTTATCGGTACTGGGGATCGAACTCACAACTGCCTGCTTGCAAGGCAGGCGCTTATGCCACTGAGGTAAATCTCCAGCCCCAACTAATTCACTTTTCACATCAGTATTTCATTAAACAAAATGATTACGTAAGAATACTCCCATTTGTAAATTTGTCTCCATGAGGTTGTCATTTTTACTGGATTAAAGAAGCAAAACAAAACTGCTGCTATATCATAGACTCCACTGATAATTATCAGGTTAGTTTCATGTTTTCATAACTCTTTTGGGTATTCATTATGAAAATAGGGCAGTTTCTATCATGCTTTTGTTTCCATCTTTAAGAGAAGAAAACATGGTTCACTGCATAACAGGCACTTAAGATTGATGAGTTTTGCTAAGTTACCAGTAAAAAATAAAAGCAGGGCCACTTAACTCTGGGAACCTGTGCTTGCATTTGAAAGCTGGAAGAAACCATATAGTATATATTGATAGTATCCTAATTAACATACAGTACTGGAAACCTTCCCTGTAGCTATCTCACTTAAATAGGCAAAAGATGGAAAAAAGTCCTTAAAGTCATGTGCATATTCTTTAGATTTTTTAGCAACCATTATACAAAAAGAAACACATGGTTTAAGGGTGCATCTGACTGAAGGAGAATGATTCGAATATTGACAAAATATATAATTATTGCAAAAATAAATCATGGACTTCCATTGCTTTTACATACTGGAAATTTATTTTTACTGCCAGCAAGACTCCATGATGGGTCATCTAGAAGAACAGTATTTACTAACGTTAAGTGGAAGGCCAACTCAGCTTGGGACCTTGCAAGTTTTAAGAGTAAAGGATATGGGGAGCCAAAGCAGTCTACTGGTATCAGGGGAAACAAA